GTCCTCCCTGCCTTCATGGCCCGGCGCCCCAAGGCCAGGCCTCCTTGGGCCTGACTGCCAGAGACCGCTGCCAGGACGCGGGAGCACCAGGAGCCGCTCTCCCTGCAGGGTTTGGGACCTCGGTCTGGGCTCTGGGTTCTGGGGCCAGCTGTCTTCTGGGCACTAGGCGGCCCTGGGAGTGGGTGTTCTGCGCAGTTCCGTTGGGCGCACGTGGGAGAAACGAGGGGAGAGTGCGTGAGAATAAAAGAAAGGAGGGTGCGGTGGGGGGCTGTGGGCACTTGGAATGAATGACCCGAAGGAGCGTCAGAATGGAGAAAGGGGGGGATATTGTTGAAAGCTCATGTCATCCCCTGCCATTTAGAGTGGCTTTCCCGTGCCCTGGCCCCCATCTAATATTTTCCATAGCCTGGGAGGTTGTGCAGGGCACTGTGCCCACTTCTCCTTTGTCCCTTTCCCAACTTTCCGCTGAATGACCAGTTGCCAAGGGGAAGTGTACCCAGTTGGCAGGAATAGACACAGGCTGAGATTGGAAGTGGAAATGCTACACATCTCCCCCCAATCCCCCCCCACCCCCACACACACACACATGGAGCCCCTACCTCCATCTATGAGCCCAGGCAAGACGAAGATGCCAAATACAATTTTTGTCCGTGGGGTTCTTCCTGCTGGTCGTCCTTTTGGTGTGGGATCCTCCCTGGCATTCAGTGATGGGTCTTCCAGGAAGAGGAAGTATCTTTGTTCTCTACCTTCAAAGAGAACAAAGTCCTGAAGCCGCAGAGAAGGGCCAAGAGTGGGTTGTGTTTGCAGTGCAGAGTGTGGCCGAGGGATGGCACCTGGCAGGGAAGGAGATCCCAGCTCAGACCATGGAGAGGCTTGTGGTGAATGTCACAGATCAAGCATAAGGCCTCCCTGAGTGTGTCTCAGGGATTCTGACCCAAGAGCAACCTTCCCACTTCTGTTCCTAGGGACTTCTTTCTAGCAGTAGTATTCAAGGGAAAGCTTACAGAGGGACCCCAATTGAGTCAGGGAGACCAGTGAAGAGCTCTGTATGAACCCAGACAAGGTATGTTGTCATCCTGGCTCTGGGACACATAATAAACCTTACTTATGGAGGGCGGACTGTGTGCCATGCACTTTCTTCCTTTCTTTTTTTTTCTAAATCATTTCATTGGGGGCTCGTACAATTCTTATCACAATCCATCCATCCATCCATTGTGTCAAGCACGTTTGTATATTTGTTGCCATCATCATTCTCAAAACATTTGCTTTATAC